CACACACACACACACACACACACACACACACACACACACACACACACACACACACACACACACACACGGAGGACAGACAGCATAATCTGCTTAGTAATGTCTTCCGTTTAGAGACTGCTGTGCTGCCAGGTTGGTGCAACAGTTCCTCATGTGCATTTTATTAACAGAAGGTTTGTTGTTGCTCGTTAGACTGTATTGCTGTCATACACTACATACACTGTATAAGAAGTTTGAATTAAGATACTGTATTTAGTCAGGATATGCTGTTACTAATGTAGACAATGCTTTTATGTCCCGTTTTCTCCCTGTTAACAGTTTACAGAATTGAAAGAATACAGGAAATTAGGCGTGTTCGTTTACCATACTACGTGTTTGTAACCAGATAGGAAATACACCAATATTTGAATGTTTTGAAGAAATTTATTGGGATTGTTTACTGCTGACTTTTAAAAGCACCACACCTTTTATAGTCTTTTCTTAGGTGAATAATGATATATTTTTATGAACTGTTGTGTGACTAGTTTTGTGATTAAATTGATGATTTTGTGTACAGACTGGTCTGGGTAGCTATAAATTATGGTTACACAGAGCAGGAGGTACTAATAGATAAGATACATGCTTGAACACACCTTCAACACTTAATTGAACCGTTGGTTTTCAAACATTCTTGGTGTTTTTTCTRTCTGGTACAAAAACACAATAAGGTAAACGAACACAAACATTTTTTTCTTTCAGTTTGAATATGAAAAGAGTTCATACGATACCCCAGAGCGCTGGTCTGAATTGCGTTTTATTTGCTCTCCTGGCATTCAGCCTCGATTCAGGAAACCAGGACACTTTTATAACCTCCTTCAGGTCCTGACTCCACCTATTTTGCGTCATCAAAAAGGGCCACACTACAGCTGGAGTCAGGTTCTCGTACAAGTTTCCTGTTCCAGTGTTAAAGGGATCCATGATTAGTTGTAACATTAGACTTTATTTAATAAATATATATTTTAACTGTAAAATAAAGACTGTAAAAATACTGTAGGATGTTCAGTTTTTATCATTTTTAAAGCAAAAGTTTAAAAATATGTTTCACGGACGGGGTCATTTTATTTACACACAAAGCATTCTGGGTAAATGATGACATGGATAGGTCCTCAGTGCGAGGCTGCTAGCGAGCTATATCCACTCTGAAGGTTAATCTTGGACAATATCTGATGATCGACTCTTTTAAATGAAATCAGAGAGCGTTGACAGAGAGGAGAAGGTAGAAATGACTCAGCCTGTAACTGAAAATATGGACGGAGGACCTTGTTTGTTGAGCTAGCGCTGAGCTAATAAATATAAGGCAATATAACGTCAGGGCTAGCGCAAAGGCTAACAGGCTAAGCTGGGGTTCTTCTTCCATGAAGCAGCTCTGTTGTCCTCCATCCATATTTTCAGTTMCAGGCTGAGTCATTTCTACCTTCTCCTCTCTGTCAACGCTCTCTGRTTTCATTTAAAAGAGTCGATCATCAGATATTGTCCAAGATTAACCTTCAGGGTGGATATAGCTCGCTCACACCACGTCATTTACCCAGAATGCTTTGTGTGTAAATAAAATGGCTCTGTCCGTGTTAAAATATATTTTTTAAAATTTACAAAACTAAACATCCTACAGTATTTTTACAGTCTTTATTTTACAGTTAAAATATATGTTTATCAAATAAGGTCTAATATTAGAACTAATCATGGATGCCTTTAAAACAACGGTTCATTTAAGTGTTGAAAGTGTTTTCAGGCATGTATCTTGTACCTTCTGCTCTGTGTAACCATCTTGGACAGCCACTCAGACCAGTCTGTACATAAAATCACCAGTTTAATTACACAATGGTTTAAAAACTTTATCATGTTTCACCTGAGTAAAACTATAAAATGTGTAGTGCTTTTTTAAGAGTTGGTAGTAAACACACCCCAATAAATCCCTTCAGAATTATTCATGTAATTCATTACTTTGACTTTATGTGCATAAATGATATTCTGTTAACACATCTTATATCATAAAGATGACATCTTACCTGAATWTTGCCAGTCGTTGCTCTGAGTTAAACAGAATAATTGGACAGCCCCGTGGAGCTCCTGATCTGGCTTTCTTTTTATTTTTTTCTTTTCCCCCCACCTCCCGTTAAGGATCTGGCTGACCGCTCTCACTCGGGTTGTCAAAGAGCGGRCCAGTTCGCCCACGTGTCTAAAAACCACTCGTTCCTTCCTCTTGTATGTAATTGGCTGTGGAGGTTGGTCCAAACATCCACAATACCTTTTGATGTGAGGGCTTCAAACACATTCTGCTGCTTCGCCTACAGACGCACCAAATCCAGGAGACTGGTCTCTGCCTGCAAATTTAACGTTTACATTTGTATCGTTTAAAAAGAATCAATCATTTAGTTTGCAAAAATGATATCTTTATAGCTTTTTGCACCTTGCAGTATAAAATTAGATTATTACTAGCCTCTGTGGCTGATTTTAGAGTCTAATCTATAGTGATTCGAACATCTGTTTTGCGTCATAAATTCCCAAATTGATCCATCTCTTAATCAGTGTTTACTTCCCTGGGTGTGCCAGTTTTTTTTTTCTGCATTAGTGAGCGTGATTGAAAAGCTGGGAGAGTTTCTAAGAGGCAGCAGCAGATCTGCTGTCATTCATAGATGGAGCATAATCAAATACTACCATGACATCTTGACTGACAGCACCATCTGCCCAGAGAGAGTGCCTTTAGAGTGACRGCATGATCATGCGTCTTGTTTAAGGCATTGCTTGTGTTCCCAAAAGAGTAATTTTTGATCCATGCCGGAGAGCTGGTGAGAAAGACAAAGACGGATAGGAGGAAGGGAGCTGCTGGATAGCAAGGGGAAAGTTGTAGACGTAACACGGTCGGGGCCGTCGGTTGAGAATGAAGCCAGATGTCTGAAAGATAAAGCAGACGTGTGCAAAAGATCTTATCAAATCAGCTTCCTCGAAGGATCGCCACATTGATGGCCCGTTTTCCTCAAAGAGATGGCTTCGTCTCGTGCCGTTTTATGTGCACTAGACACATCTGTTGTTTGTTGGAGGTGTCCGCTCGTTGCTGAATTTTAARTAGAAACGTGGCAAAGAAAAAGCACAAGTCCTGTTATTTTTATTTATTTATTTTTGTTTTGTTTGTTTGTTTGTTTCCATTTCTTATTTCCATAAGTTTATGCGACTATTAATTTCACGCAGAGTGGAGATACGGAGGGATCAGGGGAAGGGGGAGAGGTCGGTGGTGCGCTCGTGGAGCGATTTCACTCGTGTGGATTTACGCCCGTGCTGGCGTTTCCGTCGTCTGTCAGTCTTATTTCCTGCGTGTGCTTGTCTGCGATAATGATATTTCTGCCATGATTTATTTATTTTTTCCTGTTCACTGCTCACTCGCGCAGAAACGCGTCTGTCAAACCTCAAGCACACTTTGATTTGTGTCGGGACCACTGCATGAGACCATCTGATGCTTGCCCATGTGTGTGTGTGTGCGCGTGTGTGCAGCTGAATAGATGTTTACCAGCATGTGAGGGTGGGAGTGAGATGGAGTGTAGAGAGAGAGAGAGAGGGAGAGAGAGGGGGAAGCTGATGATGCTGAGGGAAGAAACGGGAGGGAGGACAGTGAGCAGTGAGGTGAGAGAGAGGGAGAACGGAAGGCAGAAAAAAAAGAAAAGGCAGCAGGAAAGGGAGAGACCTGGAGGACGCGTCAACTGCCTATAGATGCTGGAGCCTTCGACAGCGGAGCGCAGCGCTCAGCGGACACAGGAAGATGGTCTCAGTAAGAGGGGAACTGACGGTTGCCTATAATTTAATGTTCAGTATCTTGGACTCCTTCTCCATGGGTAATGCCTACGGCCAGGAACTCCCGAACAAAGCTCGCTTTTTCTCTCCTCTTTACTCCGCTCTCTTTATTCTCTGGTTTTAATTGCTGTCCGGCGGTCTTTTCTTCCCTGTTAGCTCACACTTTCTCCCCTCCGACACTCTCTCTCTCTCTCGCGTGTTGACGGGCAGCCGAGGTTTTAAGCGAGCGCTGGGTAAGCCCCTGGGGCTGGCCCCACTCTTTTGCTGCGCCAGTCAAGCCAAACGCTGGCCGCGGCGGTGATGCAGATAGATCGCGCTGCCTGCCCCCCCTCCCCTTCTCCCCTCCTCCTCCTCCTCGAACGCCAGCCGTGGATGGGCAAGCAAAGGATTCCAAGCAGGGAAAGAGAGGAGTGGAGGGGCTTTGAGAGCTAGATTAACAGTGTTGTGACATTGTTTGGGAGTCTACGTTGGGAATATTTACTCGTCACCTTAATTTAATTAATTAATTTATTTWTTTGCACTGACCTTTTWTCTGAACATGGACCACGAACTCTATTGGTAACCTTCTTCCTTTGTCTTTTTCTTCTTCTCTGTCTGGCTTCACAGGAGTGGCACCTGCAAAGAAGAGCCCAAAACTGGTAAGCTTTTAGTTTCCCTTTTTTTTTTTTCTCTCATTCGCCCACCGCGTTGAAATCTACATGTGTGCAACGGAATACTGTGCTCACTTTCCCTGCCTCTCGTCTCCATCCTCGTTATCCCAGCCTCCACTGCTCCTCCCCACCCCAAACCCCAAACCTCCATGTGGGATAACTTGTGCTGATGTTGTTGACCTGTTTGTAGACATGGGGGTGCTGCGCTGTGCGGGGGTGGATCCCTGTAGCTTGTACACGAGCCTCCCACCCCCTCCTCTCTGGCGGGGGGGATGGGACGAGGGGCTTTGATGCGCCGCGTGAGTTGGGTTGCTAAGATGCTGATGATCGCATCACGCCGGGTGCTAAGTTTGCGGTGTGCGAGCTGAATGTGTGATCGCAGCAGAGAGACGGCCTCGTTCTGCAGCGTCTGAACCGAGGGACCGCTTCCACTGTGTCTGACTGAACGTGTGCTTTGTTACATTTTTTGTTTTGCAGGACAWTTATGAGCTGGCTCCTCCGTACAGAGATTACACTAGGCTGGTACGTGACATTATTTAGAGGGGATAAAAGTTGTTGGGAATGAGGTCATGTGGTGTTGGGGCTGACTATGTAATGGTGGTGGTGTTCTTTTACAACGCAGTAGATGTTATGGGTAAACTGACGGCGTAATGTAGCTGCATGAGGTTAAACTTACACTGTGACGCAGCTACCTTGACTCTTGCCTGGGATAAGTTGTGTCTAAGGCGATGATTCGCTTCCATTGTCCTAACTCCTCTCCCCTCCTCCCTTTTCTGTCTTTTGTCTTCTAAGAACTTATCAAAACAGGAGAAACTAATGTTTCATACCAGTCTGGGAATAGTGTTTGTAGAAGGTCAAACCCAAGTATGTCCATCAGGAAGCAGAGATTTGCTTTTATTTAAAAGACGAGCAGGATTTAGACCTTGTGTGCATCAAGAGAGAAAAAAGAAAAGCAAAACCTAGAAAAAAAGCTAATATGAAGGCACTATTTTATTTGATGGAATAAAAGTTTTTAAAAAATTCTGCTCAAGGGGAACGATTGATCTTGAAATCTAAAACACCAAACGAAAGCTGCTTGCCTGATTAATGAAATACCTCTACAGTGCTTTTATTATTATTATTAAGAGCACCACTAAAGCTGTAGAGGTTACACTCGTGATACAAAGTGCAAGTCGCAGCTCACATTTAGTRTATCCAAGAGCATCAGGTTTCTTATGTCTAACAAGTATGATGAATATAAACATGAATTGCAGAGGTGTAGGAGGCCGATTCACCGAGTAATGAGTCTGAATTTATTGAAGACGTTGCTGCACTTTGAAGGCCGAGCACTTTGACTCTCCAGCTGACGAGCCACTAGCCTCCACCCCTTCCTGGTATATTTTTGTCCACTAAATCCAAAGTAATATGTGGTCACGTGATATGAAGAGTCTTAGCTGTCATTTTTTCCCCCTCCCTCTCTCTGTCTCTCTTAAAATATCTGCCTCTCCTCCTTCTCGTGCTCTGCCTGTAACTCATTTTGTTGCTCTCCGTTTGAAATCGTCACAGCAGTGCAAATTCCGCAGACTAACAATGAAGATGAAACTGTCAAGGAAGGGTGGGGGGGAAGCGCTTTGACAAGAATGATGAGCGGGGGGGTTTAACTTGAAGTGTACTGGCACTTGAGCTCAGAACTGCATGTGCTCCTCAAACACCTCAAATCCTTCAGCTCGTGTTTAAGTGCCCATGTAATTGAGGGGTCTGGGTGCAATTTATGAGGACCTGCACCAGTAAAATCCTCCCTTTTGTTTCAAACCCCCCACAAGTGCTTTAGAGAGTTTTCTTTCCATATGCAGCCGGCATTGGAGATTTTTTATTATTATTATTTGTGTGTGTGTGTTAAAACACTCCTGTGCTAAACAAAAGGAATAGGCAATGCTCCCTTTTGTAAATCGAACCCCTGTGTTTTTATTCCATAGTCAAATGACTTAATCATAAGCAGCCATTGAGGTTTTCTTATTTCTTATCTATTTTTGTAAGTGAAAAGGATTTCAATGAATAAAACAGCTTGATTATTCTTTGCCTTGATTAAGGGAGCAAGACAGAAACTGCTTTATTTTACCCCAAAGAGAAGGTGCTGGTGCTCCGTTATTGAACTGTAACAGAAAACTCTTTTGTATTCATATCTTCATCCTCCTTGTTTCTCCTCTTGCCAGCCACAATCCCCAATCCTTCTCTCTGATGTGCTGCTGAGGATGCAATAACCTTTTAAATGTTTCTTTTTTTATCTACCTGTCTGTCAACTCCGAGTTAATCTTCCACGTTCTCTCGAAGCCTGTTTTTAAAGAGTCAAATGATACCGATCTACTTCTCCAACAGCAATTGTCAAGAAAGGACAGTCAGAACAGTTCCCAGCATAGCGTTTCCAGCCACCGGAGCGCTCACACGGAGTCGCCCAGTCACTCCTCCCTGGGACCCCCGCTCAGTGAGACCGGCGCTCCCCCGCCCCCTTCGCAGCCCTTACCCGGCCTCCMATCCCAGGACTCTCAAGGAGACGGGACCATCCACAGAAAACCGGACCCCTTTAAGATTTGGGCCCAGTCCAGGAGCATGTATGAAAGTAGGCGTAAGTATATACTTTTTGGTGGCGGTTGGATGAAGGCTGCATGGGGTGCTGGRTGGAAACCCTTAGTTTTATATTGACTTTTGCTTAAGGGGCAAGTTTTGGGAAACAAGTCCTGCATGTAAGTAACTGGTTTTTGTCTTCAAATAAAAAGACCAAGTCATGTCAAGCAAATGATAAAACCCCTTTTCATGGTTGGAGATGGAAACCAGTGACTGAATATTTTGAGGTGGTGTTCTGTGGGAATGTTTTGAACAAAAAATATCTTACCTGTTGCCAAAAACTTTTTGAGCAACCTCTGTTTGGAGAAGCAGTTTAGTTTTGACCAGCTAGTCCAAGCAAGGCCAAGACCAAAAACAGTCCAGTCTCAAACATTTGATAAACTTTCACGTCATCAACAATCAAAGTTATTAATGTACATTTTTTTACAGTTTACAAATAGTGGCAGCAGCAGTTAGCTGTAGCACTTCTTAGGCAGCTTCCATCAGCAATGTGTATGTATCTATACTTTTTGCCAGAACAACTATAATGCAAAATGGACTTTGGCAACAACTCACTTCAGTTTCGGCCTCATTTGGACTAGCCATTAGCTCGTCAGTACGGTTAGAATAAACTTAATTTTCTGGTTGTTCTAGAAGCTATCAACAGCAAGTAATAAATAAATTGTTTGTAATATTTTCACAGAATTACACCTCAAAACTTCTGTTTTAACACAGCAGAGCGCAATTAGCCTAGCTTTGCTGACCAAAAAAAAGCCTTTGGGAAAAGGAAAAACATTAACTTGACTTTTGCAAAGCAGTAAAGTTTTAGTTTACTCATAATTAAAGAAAAATGCATGTTTAAAACTCAAAGTAAGACTTTAGTCTGTTAATTTTTTTTTCAAAAAGTCAAGGTAATTGTTTCCCCTTGCCATCTGTGCTAAACTTAGGTAGACATTGTTCTAAACTAACATTCACAAAAGTGTAAATGTTATGAAGCTGTTCATATATTTTTAGTGTTGTAGATTGGTATGTTAGATCTAAAAAGCTGAATTTTATGTTTCAACCTCTCAAAGTCGTGCACTTTTGTTGCAGAATTAACAGTGTTGTTTTTTACCCATATTTAACTCTACTCATACAAACACAATTACTACAGAGTTACATATTACTGCTAACAGCAACATACCTGATTGCATGATTAGTTTTAACTCACTGCGTTACTCACAGTTCAGTGTGCCTGAATGAACACATTTGAAGCAGAGTTTTCCCTCATCCCTTTGGTCCTGTTCTTTAAAGGCTAATGAGGCCATTTTTGTCCAATTGGACACTAACGCCACAGACACGCTTCTGCTTAGACTTCCCTTAAGAGGCACGCAGCGCGTAATTAGCAGCAATAGTGGAGTGGATGTCAGTAGATTGCACACCCGCTTTCTTCTTTTCTCCCTGCGAGTGGATAGTTCCAATTAATAAGAATAAGCCTTAGATCTTCTGTCAAGTTTAGAAATAAAAGGGAGAAGGTTTTGTGTGGGGTGGGGGGAGGTGTCTGAGTGCTGATATGTGAACATCTTATCAGTTGCCCAAGCACCTCTTGTCAAGGATTTTCATTATTTAGAGGCCTGTGGAAAACGTCTGGATCATTTCTCTTAAAATGGAAAGCTCAAAAAAGATAGGTGGAGAGTTAAACAAAAAGAAATGACAGAGGGTAAGGAGGGTGAATCCTAATAGGAGTTTTCCAAATTGCTCAATCAAGTGGAAAGGGATGTACATGGAAACGAGAATAAAAACAGACAAGTATTTGGACTTTGAGGGGTGCGTTCTGAGGTATGCAGAAGGAACATCTGGACTGGGAGGGGTCCGATGACCTGAGCCAGTAGGTGCAAATCCTCCTCCTCTTCACGCTGCTGCGAGCTCACATTCTAAAATCCTTCGGGATCCGCTCAGCAGGGCTCAGGCCTCGTCGGCGGCAACATCGCTTCTTCGCATTCTCGTGTGMCGTGATGTCATGTTCTGCTGAAGTCAAGGTCTTTCAGCAAATTGTATTAAATGATTTCCGTTTGCAGGAATAACCCAACCTGCACAGTTTTAAACCACTTTCTAAAAAAAATCTACTTGTTTATGTTATTTGACTTTATAGTGATTGTCACTGGGTTTAACATGTCCCCAGTTTAATTTACTTAACGTTTCAACCATCCAGACTAATTTAACTCGACATGTCTCTTTCTGTAAACGTCCACACATGCCCAATTGCCTCACTATAGAGATCACTTCTGGACGTAATAATGGGCAGTGGCAGGGTGTGCAGCTGGCTCTCCTGAGTGCAGGAGCAGATTGCAACAGTTAGCCTTTCCGTCGCACGTCTCCCCGTTTGTCCTCGTAAACCGTGTGCTGGATTAGAAGAAGTGACTCCACTCTGCATGGATTTGAACTGTTGACTGAAAGAACAGACTGGGAGCAGGCTTCTTATGTTGTCTGCCACGCTGCTGCTGCTGCTGCTTTGTGGTTTTTTGCAATCTTTGGCAAGCAGTGTGGTCGGTACTGGAGCGAGCAGAAATCTCTCAGGGAGTTTGCTCAAAAATGCATGTTTGTGACTAAAACGCAGCTGCAAGTGTTTTTAAGCGCAGCTTAGCGGTAAGAATCTTGTACTATCTCGTGGTTCGATTAGATTCTGATCTTTGGGCACACGATTAGATTCAAAATCGATTTTCGATTCCGGACGATTGGAATAATAATGATTTCTGCTTTAGTCTATCAGTGTGCAACATATCCACATGATCGGGGCTGGCTGACACGCTCTTTCCTCCGTTTTTGTCGTTTCCTCCTAGTTTTGGTGAATGTTCCAGAACGGGACGATTTTGGGACATTTTTTATAGGTTTCCTGTAAATAAGAATTGCATTTTTTATATTCTTTTTGTGAATTGGTTTTATTTAGTGGTGTCCCGATACAACTTTTTCACTTCTGATACGATACCGAAATTGACCTGACACCATATCAGAACAAATCACACACTTTAACCTATTTTGTAGTGTAAAATCTTAGAAAAGTCTTGATCAAGTCAAACAGTGAAAAGGAGTAGGTATGAGAAAAATTGACCCATTTATTTTTAACCAATGGGTCACATAGGCCTACATTTTAAACTGAAGAACATTCTACAATTTAATAAAATAAATAAAATAAATCAGAAGACCCTGAAAAATAAAACATAATAAAAACAAAATGTACTTTTAAAGTGTAAAATAACAATTCAAAGTCACTCCAGTTCTTTCTTTTTTTTACTATCTGTCAGCCTGGTGCTGCTTTATGGTGGGGAAAAAATGAAGGTGGGGACAAAACAAAACAAAACCCCACATTATTGTCCATTGTCCAACTGTTCAAAGTAAAGAGTCCACAGCTCCAGTTTTACTGTGTCCAAAACAACGGGATCATTGCACTTAATTTTCCCACACTACCTTTATCATTATATGTATCTACAGGTTTTTTTTTTTTTCATTTTTACTTTTTTCTATTGTACAGCATCCTTTTGTGTCCTGAAAGGCGCTTTATAAATAAAATGCATTAATATTATTGTTATTATTATTATTATTATTATTATTATTGTATTATTGTTATTATTGTTATTATTATTATTATTATTATCTTCACTAAAACAAGTGTGTAAACAGAGTAAACATCACACTACAAACAAGAGCAAAATAATAAAAAAGAAATAATAATAATAATAATAATGCGTTAGTCTTAAATAGCCCTTTTCGAGACCCTCAAAGATGCTTTACAATTTTCATGCATCATTCATTCACACTCACATTCACACACTGATGATAGTAAGCTACATTGTAGCCACAGCTGCCCTGGGGCACACTGACAGAGGTGGGCTGTCATACTGCGCCACCGGCCCCTCTGACCACCATCAGTAGGCAAGGTGGGTGARGTGTCTTGCCCAAGGACACAACGACTGAAACAGCTGGACTGGGGATCGAACTGGTGACCTTCCGGTTCCAGGGCTGATGCCAAATTAGTTAGCATGCTGTCCTTGCTTACAGAACCACTGACCGAACTGGAGAGCAGGTTCTGAAACTGGACCGAGCCGAACCACATAGCTGCTGCCAGGGTGGAGAGTGGTTGTCGCTCCGGTTTAAAATGTTCACGRTTCTGTGCCTACATGGAAAACTTGTGTGTGACAACTTTGCACTTAGCTTCAACTCTGTTTCTGATGAAAATAGAAAGTTCTGCAGCTGACATTCTTGCTAACTTGATAGYGCAGCATGTTGTTGTGATCATGTGAGCTCTGCATGCTGGAGCCAAGTGCTGCTGGATAGAAACACTGGAGCGGTGGCAGTGAACTGCTGGATTGAACTACTTATATCGGAGCGCTTTTATCGCAGATATTTTATGCAAGCCGATCAAAATCCGATACTCGTTTTTTGGCTGATATCGGACCGATATCCGATATCAATATCGGATCGGGACACCCCTAGTTTTATTTGGCACACCCTTATTCAAAAGTAACTAAGATTCCCAAAAGTTTAAAAATCCAATCTCACAAAACTMTTTTAACATTGTCTTTGGTTATTGTGTACATCAAATACAGGATAGTAATTAGGAACAAACAAAATTGGTGTGTACACAGAGACAGAACTACACAAGTGCAATTACCCTCCCCCCCCCCCTTTTTTAAGTCTCTTCAAGCATCCAGTAACCTCCTGAGCCCCCTCTTCTCTCACACTCCATAAGCCATGAGCTGTCAGCCACTGCAGTGAAATGCCTCTTCTATACAACATCACCTTTCTATTTACCACCAAACACGGATGCTCCGTTCTGTGTTTTCTGGGTACRAATGGACTGTGAACTTGTCAGATTATGCTCAATAATAAATAGCCTGCCTCTGTCCGATGTATTACAGCCTCTGACAAGGAGAAGGTTCACCCTCAATATAGAGCATGAAGGAAACGGATGCTTTGCATGTCACACATCATTTTAAAGAATAAAGAATATCCTGCTGCTTCTTTAAACTTCTCCACCAAGCAAAAGTGTCACTACAAAGGCGTTGCAAGGATAAAAGGAAAAGTTTACTATTTTCAGGCATCAGAAGAGAGCTTTATACTTTTTTTATTTCTAATTATGGCACCAAGGAGGGATTCAGTCTTCATTTGAAAGCATGCATGACTTTTCCTAAGTTTTTATTTGACTTTGTAATTTGGATCCTTGCCCAAAATAGATTCTCTGCCACCTTTGATGAATCAGTTGTTTATTTTTTCTCTCTGTGTGCCGTGTGTCGCCTTGATGTCAGAGCTTGAACAGTTRAGAGGAGAGTTATTTACATTTTGACATAAAAATGCGTTAATGAACCTAAAAGAGTATGATAGATGCATTGAATACAATGTGCAGCAAATTTGAGAGGATTAAACAAAATGTTTTCTAACATTCTAATACTAACTTGTTCTGGTGCTAGTGCAGGGGTGAGGATTTTACTTTCTGGTGTGGGGTGTTGTGCTGAAATGTTAATGGTGTTTTGTTGATTTCACAGTTCCAGACTTCCAGGAGAAGGACATTTTCCTATGGAGGAAGGATACAGGGTTTGGCTTTAGGATCCTTGGAGGCAATGAGCCGGGAGAACCTGTGAGTCTCCTAAAGTTTCTTTATCTCCTACAACTGAAGCTGTTCCAATGTGCTTTAAAAATGACCAGTTTTTTTCACTCTTTTAGAATTTGCAGACTTCCAACTGCAATGATTTAGTGCTTAAACAAAGAAATTGGTTCTATTCCAAAGATCAGTGGAAATAGTTTTTGTACATTTTTGTAAAGGTTCAGTTTCACTTCAATCTCACAGAAACATTAAGTCTTTCTTTTCTTCTTTTTATTTAAAATGTCACAATTACTTTTATTTTCCTGGTGTAGTGGCTAACACAATTTGTTTTCTTTCTCTTGAAGGAAAATATGATTTGAAACATGACTGAACCTAGATTACTGTACACCTGTTACAGATTGAAAGAATAAGTTGAAATGTTAGRRTGTATTCACACCTGACACATTTGATCCACTTTAAATGGACCAGAGTTCATTTCCCCTGTTGGTCCGGACCTTTTAATKCAGGTGTGAATATACTCATGCAAACCCTGGTGTGGATCAAACAACCGGACTGAGACCCGTTTTTCAGGTGGTCTCGGTCCGCTTCCATACGAACTCTGGTGCGGCTCACTTCTGGTGTGAATACAGGCCGGCCTCGAACAGAACCAACAGTSGTGGGCAGCACTAATCTAAAAATTAGTTCCACTAGCCCTAAAACACTAACTCAAGTATTTAGGTCCCCTAATTCTAAAGCACTAACACACTGAAAGTTTTAGCAAACGCTAATTCTAAAGCACTAAAATAACCCAGTCAACCCATGAACATTGTTCAACAGACAACATGAGTCACATGTTGTCATGTTGCTCTTTTAATTCTTATCATTGACATTCCACAGCTGTATTTGAGTTCATATATTGTCACCTGGTGGATAAGTGACAAATTTATGAAAAAAATGAGTGACAGCTTTCACCCTCAGCTGTTAACAAAAATATTGATCAATAACATTTATAGACCTCAGTTTGGTGCTTCTAAATTTAGCCTATAAATTTAGCAAGTGCTAATCACAAGAGCTAACACAGAAGCTAACCCTTAGCTGGTCCGTTTCAACGCCTCGACACACAGGCCACGATGCAGAAACACCGATCGCCGCACCGTCCCGTCAATTTAACAAAATGGAAAGCAAAAGAAATATTGTGCTCACCTGTTAACGTGAACGGCGCCTGGGACGTGCATCAATACGGCGTCTCCCACGACCGGGGCCTATCCAGGCGAAGCGCTTCACACAGCACCGCTGTCGAGTGAAACCAGCAGCTGAACGTCGTGGGTCACCAAAACTGTAAGGAAAAATTTGTGTTTAATACGACTGAGGTCAATATTAAAACACCAGTGTTAAATAAGATGATTTTGAGGAAGGAACAACCATACAACACCAGAATTCTGGATCAGAGTGAGGTTTATTAGTCACCGGTTGACAAGCCAAACCACACTGCCTATAACCAGGAAATGAATCAATATATATGTACAGAATCTTCAATGCCTGAGTTCGCCCCCTGCTGACCCACGGCTGAATCACAGGCATTCAGACAAAGACCTCACCCTAATGGTTTTAAAAAACGGTTCACTTATGTGTTGTATATGAATTCGGACATGTAGCCACTCTATTTTAATTAACACATAATAGATCAAACATTATACAAGTATTGTAAAATAATGAAACCCTACACTCTGGTGCAGTTTTCTAACATCAGTACTAATCTATAAATAACTATAAATTTCTTCGCACTAATAAATTTTAAATTTAGCAAAAGCCCAAAAGCACTAATCAGGAAATTAGTTCCCCTACTAGTGCTTTAGTGCTTTAGGGGAACTGTGCCCACCACTGCGAACCAACTACAGGAAACATTTTGGACTTCACGAGCCACCATTTCTAAGCGTCACAGTAACAATTAGCTCTTCAGTGTTGCTAATGCTACCACTATGCTACARTTAGCCAGGGTGTGCAGAGCATCTCATCTCCTGCGCGTTGCATCACACATTAGCCAACACCATTCCAAAATTAGAAGTACATCATCATGAAACCACACTCTTGAAATTTGAAATGGTTTTGCCAATTGTATTGACAGCAGCAACATTGTTTCCGGGTCTGTGCTCTGCCCCGCCCCCGTCATTTCTGTCCAATGGGAGCAATGATTGTCACCCTCGTGAATTTGTTTATAAATTATAGTCTACTAGCAAACAAAAACAAACGAAAAGATAAAATCCGCTTTTGGTCCAAACCAAAGGACTTTCCTGGTGTGAATACACCCTTAGAGTGACGTTTACATTAATGTCTAACATGAAGATTTCACGTGCTTGTGGCTGCTGACAAAACTGAGACGGTTTTTTAAAACCTTTAATTTTTTTTGTATTAACTTTGAAGACACGTTTGTTGAGACCCATTTGCGAAAGTTGTTTCTCTTTGCCTGTGTTTCAGATCTACATTGGCCACATCGTGAAGTACGGCGCTGCAGACGAGGACGGCCGCCTGCGGTCCGGCGACGAGCTCATATGTGTGGACGGCACAGCGGTGGTGGGCAAGTCCCATCAGCTGGTGGTGCAACTGATGCAGCAGGCTGCCAAACAGGGCCACGTGAATCTCACCGTGCAACGCAAAACCAACTACGCAGGTAAGAGACACGTTCAACAAGAGGAGGAAGCTGCTCGGTGGGATCTTCTGTCAGTTCTCAAACCAGATGCTTCTTTTAACTCAACTTCATCAAGATTTGCTGCAGCGAAGTAGTCATGTGATGAAATGCGTTACTGAGGGTCACATTTGTTTAAACCACACTACTACCAGCAGCCCAGAGGCCCTGCCTGAAGAGTTGGCCCCTCTCCTTCCTCCATTTCAGTCTGGATGTAGAAGCAGTCAGCGCCTACACCCCTGCATCGCTGCTGTCACGCCGCTCGTCTGGGCTCCACTCCGCKCTGTTCCTCAGCAGGCGATAAAGAAAAGCCCATAAACATGACGGAGAGGGCGGTCAACCTTTTGGCCCGATGACGGCAGCCAGACATTAGTGCACTGCTGTACCCTGTCTGCCTCAGAGCGTAGAAAGTATGAGSCGCCGTCATTGAGCAGCTGAACAGGAAATGAAATGTGGAATGAAGCCTCCAGCTTCAGCAGGCGGACCACGTCTTCAGCTCGTCTTTTGTTTGAAATAGATCAGAAAAGGGATTGTTGAAGAGGCCTGCTGTCCAAAGCGCTCTAAAGGACTTCAATTTATTAGAACGAGATAAACTGTCTGTTAGGAGAAAAAAGGGTCTTAGTTGGTTTGGCTGTTATATTTCTTCATTCTGAAGCTCTTCAGCAGTGACGAGCACAGTTTTTATCAGCTTGTCTTAATTTAYCTACTTTGCCTCTTGCATCTGTTTTCCCTCGTCTTCCATCAAGTCTTATCTCTCCTCCTCTCCCTGTGTCCAGTAAAAGCAGAGGGGGATGTGCCTCCATCACCAGCGTCCTCACACCACAGCAGCACTCAGGCGCCCAGCCTGACAGAGGATATGGGGAGGCGCACCCTGCAGGGCAGTCAGAATTCCCTCAACACCGTCAGCTCCGGCAGCGGCTCCACCTCTGGCATCGGCAGCGGTGGAGGGGGCGCCGGGGCGGCGGTCAGCGGGAACTCTGTGGTCGCCGCCACGGCTGCCGCCACGGCCTCCTCGCAGCCCCCAGTCCCCAACTCCAGCGGCGTCCCCTCCGCGGTGCAGCCCTACGACGTCGAGATCCGACGGGGCGAGAGCGAAGGGTTCGGCTTCGTCATCGTCTCGTCTGTGTCGCGTCCCGAAGCGGGCACCACCTTCGGTAAGTGATGCTTCCCCTTCTGCTTGGATTGTCAAAATAAATCAAAGAAAATCGAACACCTCCGTAGACACATTGATGTTAAAAGTCACATGCATAAAGTACACCTTCTACTCAGCAAAACCTGAAACACACATGAAAGGGTTTTCTTACCTTTTGGGTTCTTTTTATCTTTTTTGTTGTCTTTGTGGAATTCCTTTGTATCATCTATAAAACCCACTGAGCACTAAACAGCCTGACAGCCTGCACACATTGTGGCTATTTACAGTCGCGACTGATCAGTATCAACAACCTTCAAAGATGTGCATCTTTATTTTTTTWATATATATATATTTTTTTAGTTTTTCTCTCATTTTTACTTCAGCCTGTCAAACCAAGACATTGAAACTCTTTCCTCCCCTGCAGCTGCAGCTTCACTCTCACAAAGCTTTCATAATTGATCACAAGTGAAGTGGGTCTTACGTAAGACACTTTGTATTATTCAGCTCAGTTTAAACGGCTTCAGCTGAGCAGGTTGCTACCAAAAGCCTAATAACATCGTAACAAGGATGCAGTTCTCCAAACAGGAAATCGGAAAGATTTAATCACTTTGAAGATCATTTTGAATAACTGCTTTTAATCATCTGGCTTATTCAGCCACATTGTTGGCGCTCTTTTTGTTGCCACGTGCGTAAATATGCGAATTTGGTGGAAGCTGATGGTTTTTTTACAAGCCAGTGGTCTCTTTTCTATGCATTGCACTCTTTGGCCTCACTGCTTCTGCTTATATTACAATGACATTTCACTGCCCTCTGTGCTCTTGCCTCTGCTGCTGTGAGTAGACTAAAGAAAATCTAAAACCGCTCAGCTCCTCAGTTTGGTTCACAAAGCGGCAAATTTCCCCTTCACGAGCCACAGTGGCTGGCACAGGCTCGCAGATGAGCTTTATTTGCTTTGATTTGACATGTAAAATTCACATTTCTTCCCTTTCACTCAATTTTTTACAGCCTAAAGCTGGCTCGATTCAGTTAATCAGACAGGCATGGGGTAGAGAGGCGGTAGAGAGAAATTAGTGCTGGAGTAAAAGTAGTACGGATGGTTATGTGAGTAATAATTAAAAAAAGGGAAGACGAGTGAGGAGAGATTGATTGCACGCATCAGTCTGCAGACAGAGAGGAAGAGAACACCTCAGGGTGGTTGTGAGATGTCAGCTCTGATGTATGTTTGTCGGCTCAAACATCCTGCAGGTACAAGTATCTGGGATGTAGCATTGCAGACTTGTTACCCCATTAGCTTGTACCTGCTGAGATGGAAATATATTAATCACACTGTTAAGACTATACCGGAGAAGYTTTAATAAAGGAAGAGGATGCAAGATAGGAAATAAGCCGGGGTTCAGATTTTACCCTGATTAATCAGGAAAAACTGGATTTTCAGAACTGCAGTGTGGTACTTTCTACGATTTCTTAGCAGAGACAATTTGCATTTGGCCTTCTTCACCGACACTTGCATTTAATCCTGATATATCTTGATCCTCTTGTCTTTTTTTTTCTATAGCTTTGCTGGCTATTGGCTGCTGGGGAATTAACTCTAAACTCTGCTGATCTTTTCTCTCTGCTTCTTTTTCTCTTCTTCTGCTTCCATCTCTCCAAACACAATCCTCTACACACACCCTGAAACACTGAATCACAACATGTCAATGGTGACCAAAGCTGGAAATGCATGTGTGGCCATGCCTCACAAAATAGGGCGCATCATCGAAGGGAGCCCGGCGGACCGCTGCGGGAAGCTGAAGGTCGGCGACCGCATCCTGGCTGTGAACGGATGCTCCATCACCAACAAATCCCACTCTGACATCGTCAACCTCATCAAGGAGGCAGGGAACACCGTCACGCTGCGCATCATTCCTGGAGACGGTGAGCCCTACGGCAGCAGCTAACACTCAACTTTACAMGCTCATTCTTCTATTGATTGTTGTTTTATTTGCTTTAAATCCAGGTTTTCTTGTTATAAATGGTTGATGAACTGACATTTTGAGATATTTAAAGGTGTAGGTTTTCATTTTGTGACACAGGGATGGATTTTTATGGCCCACTGACAAAAGACAACTGCAGATTTTTATGGTTTTACCCTTGTTTTACCCTTCGTCTGTAACCAAAGTATCTTATAAACCAGKTGACACATTTTATTGAAACTCACAGAAAGTAATCACTACAAGAGTATAGAACAACTTGAATAAAAGAAAGGGACATTTTTTTTAGGATGGACTGAAGTCACCAGTTGCCAATCCTTTAGTTTAACGTCTACAACTGAATAAYTTTTGAAGTCAAGCTAATTTAATACAATAACCCCAACCATCTGATCCTAAAAAGACTCAAAAATGACCACAAATCAGTCAATTTTACAAATATTGCATTAAAACTTATGTGGACGTAGCTTAGAGTCATTTACAACACATTGTGTGTGATGGTGCAAATGATTAGACATATGGTTACATTCAAAGGAGGACCATAACAGCTACAACGTCATCATATCTCATAAGAGGAGAAACTGTGGCATGAAAAATGTCGGGCGATGTGCAATCCCCTCGAGCAGTGCACGTCTTTGATATATGTTGTTTGCTTTTTGTTGCATTTCCTGTATTAGATGGTTGTCAGCACATTTTCTGCTTAGTACCAGTGGAGAAAAACACTGAGAGCTGGGTCTGCAGTAATACATATTTCACCAGCTAAAACATCAATAATCAGTTTATTATATATTTATAATCTTCCATGGCAGCCCATAACTGTTTGACAGAACCTGTCAGACAAGTCCTGCTAACTTTTACACAATTCTGCCAAGAACTTACTAAAACAAACAGTAAACTTGACTTTTCCTTTTCAAGGTTTAACTCTACATTTATCAATTATTATTAGGATTGGATTAGCTCGCTGAGAGAAGTCTAATTATCTGAAGAGTTGGTGTTTGTGTGTGCATTTGTGTGTGTGTGTGTGTTGTGTAACAGTGGCAGCTCCTTCCCTCATTTTCAAAGTTAGTGCAACACCCCCGCACTGTTGATGGAAATGCCTCTTTGGAGTTATTTGGGAGTTTTCCCAACCRTTGCAGTTTTTGCCTTTGGCGTGCCCGTGCTTTCAGAGCGCACAAGAGTAATTTAGTTGTCTGCGTGTTTGTTTGTGTGAAAGCGAGAGGAACGGGGAGAGCGAAGCAGAACTTCTGTAACGCGAGGGTGTGTCTCAGTCTTCAAATTGGTTTTAAAGAAGACTTTGTGCATGTTGCATGTTGTGTCGAGCAGCTGAGAGCGCTCATCTTCACGCTGACGGATCACCCCGGCATCCTTTCGTAAATGCTGATTAATTGATCCGGTGTGCGTATGTGTGAGGGAGGCGATTTTCCCTGTCAACCTGGCACACTGATCGAAAGTGGAGCCATTTGTCCGCCGATCTTTTATTTTTTTTTTCCGGCTCACTTCTTTTAGATGAAGAGGGTTTTTTTTCTTCTCTGGTTTTTCTTTAGAGTGGTTGATGAGAACAGCGAGCTAAAATTGCAACAAGACAGCCAGAGAGAAGGCGTCATGGAGAAATAACCAGATAGGCTTTATGGGGAAATTCTTGTTTGTGTTTATGAGCATGTGTCAAACAAACTGACGCCGTCTAACACGGAGACACGAGAGGGTGTTAGAGAAAAATTGCGGCTCCAAAGTGGTTGTTCTCTCGCCTTTTTTATTATTATTTTTTTTTTTGGTTGCGTATTTCTGTGAGGATCAGTCCTGTCTGAAGTTTTTGGTGCAAGCATCCCAGCAGGAGCTATACATCCAACATGAAGTCAGGTTCAGCTCCATTTTTCCATGTGAAGATGTGTAAGATTGGGGTTTTTTCAGCAGGATATAGAGTTTCTACAACATAAAGTCGAGGCTCACCACACATTATTGCTTCTGTTGTATGAAAGAAGGAATGTTGACATAAAGTATTCTGGATTGTTTTATAGGGACAGGTACCAAATTCGATACTTTTTKAAGTACCGACCAAATTTTGTCGGTACTACCAAGAACCTATTATGTAGCATCAAACRGTACCATGTTTCGGTACCTAAACGCATCATTGTGACCATATTGGCGTAAGAGTGGGAGATTTTCCATGCTTGTCCTGAACGCAGCATCGCACAAGAGCGTAATGACGTCAGCAGCCGCCTGGTTCAGTAAACAGAGTTCGGTGTGAACGTAGCTGAAAGCCTCGCAGCTCCTGGAGTAAAACTCACCAAACAGACCACCTCTGAATTATCTGGTGGATTAATAATCTTGTGAACACGACGTTCACTTGCTCAAAGTAAATAAAGTACCGCCACTTTCTTTATTTCATCCACAATTAAACAGAGACCAGCAGAGGAAAACAACAGAGGTGCTTCCCGACAATCCGAAGCACAAGCAGTTAACTTGAAGCGTTGGTTACGTTTTGGATGCTCAAAATTTAGCTTGAACACCTTTTATTTATTTTAACTCAATCCTCTTTTGCTTATTTGATTTAAACTTATTTGCCTTCCATGGACCTCCATCACACAATTTTTCTAGCAGGGAAATGACATCAATAGAAACACGTGAAGCTGGATTTTAATTTATGCAATAAGACAAAACAGTCTTGTTGTTTTCAAGAGTTTTCACCTTAAAGAAATTAATTACACAACAGATATTACAATATAGAGTTGGATGTTGTCTTGATATTTGTTAAATTTTATATATTGAGAAATATGTTGAGTAAAAAAATAAAGTTTATTATTAAAAAAAACACACACAAAGTACCGAAAACTGGTGCCATTAAGAACCGTTACCGATTCCCATGTACCAGATATTGGTACCGAATCGATTCAAATGTCAAAGTTACCATCCCTATTGTTTTATTTTATGGTGTCATTTTAAATATGTCTGCTGTCTTTTGCCCTGTCAAGTCAAGAGAGTATAATAGTGGATTGAAATGCCTTTGTTTTAGGGGTGCACCGATTGCAGATTTATGATCAATCAACAATCTTTAAAATGTCCGATCTGCCGATTTTGTTTTTGGCCGATACAGATATTTTAAATCTGACTGTCAGGTGCTATAAGGTCACAATACACCGTCAATGTTCCAATCCTTTTTTATTGATAAACACTGAACAATACCCTTGAAACAATACAAGCTTGTTTTAACTGGACATTAGGGAGTGCTCACAGCAGAGCAAAAGGGGACAGTGGCTGATTTTAAGATCTGTGTGGAGATGAGAAGTCTGTCTTTTCCACTGATCATATCCAAGTATCTGACGATCTCCGATCTCTCAAAATTAAAAAGTAACTTACCCCAAAATTAACTTTTTTTAGCTGATAAACTGTCTACAATGCGTCGAAAATGTTATATAGTACTGTTTCTGTGCTAATTTTGATGTTTTTGTGTGTATTTGTTCAAATCTGTAATATTTGGTCTAAAAACATGTTTTTGCTGCTCATATGGGTAGAGCAGTGGTACTGCAGGCTAATTTGCTTATTGGTTAATGGCTCTCCACGGTGACGTGTCTTCTCCATGGTTTCGTCACAGCGGCTGTGTTCTGGTATAAAAGCCTCTCTCTAAGACACGCTCCTGCAGCAGTCAGAGGGTGGAGCTGTTAGCAAGCTTAGCATGATCGTCTGTTGACCTTCAGCCTCCCTCAGCCTCGGGTGGGGAGAGGAGCTGACTGCTGCTGCTCTCTCCCTCCCTCTCTCTCTCTCTCTCCACACACACACACACACACACACACACACACACACACACACAC